CTGCCTAAAGACGACACAATTTGTCAATTGACTCCGGGCCATTAAAAAAGTAACAGATCATCAAACTTTAGGGCATATTTAGATTACTGAATGCAGACTCATTCAAAAGAGCGTAATTATGTCATATCTTGGTCATTTGTACTGTACATTGATGTATTAATACCGATTACGGTTTAAGTTAGTTCTGTGTCATTCAGCTCAGTTATTTTCTCAAAATTCTCCGCCGTAGACTGAATCGGTTCAGTTAAAGAGTCAAATGAGTGTTTTAAATGCAAGCATGTTACTCTATGGAGTTTAGATGAAATTAAATGATCAAAGGAGGCTATGGCTACATTTTTTTTATGTAGACTGATCATTTTAAGAGGAGTTTTTAATCATTTCTTTATCATTTTTTACATTTCCAACTTTGTTGAACCTAGAGTTTTGTTTAGTGTGTAGTGTTGCTGTTTGAGTATGAAAAAGGTCTGCAAAGTTACAAAAACACAAAGTCCAATCCAAAGGAAGTTATTCTCGATATACCGGTTTCTGAACTCCCTGAAAGTTTTCGTCACACACCGTATATGCAACAATATTTCTCATTTAAATATCTCCTGCCCAACTCATACACAACAAAAAGAAACCAGGCCTGGTTGAGTTGCATTAGCATTATTTCATAAACGTTTCGGTCTGTGCAGCCGCACTTCAAGTCAAACACACCTATGACTTAGTGTGACCCCATTGGTTCTACTTGCACTGCTCTGAGCTAGATTCGAAACTGTGTTTTTGACTATTATTATCTGTTCTCCACAGCCCGTTCTCATCCCATAAGAAATGAATGGGAAATTGGCAAAAATGTGAAAATAATGAGTTTTTTTGTGCGTACAATCTACAAATCAGCAACGATCTTGAAAAAAAGCACACAACAGTGAAGGGATGAATCTAAAAAACATCAAGAGTGCAAAAAAGACACATCCACACACACACACAAACACACCTTTATACACAAACACCAAAAAATTCAGATTATACATGTGTTTTGCATTTTTAAAAAGCTCAGTTTGTCCCCGAAATGGTCATAATTCTTGCATTAATACTAATTATAATTTTTTTTTTTAATTTTTTCAAAACACCAAAAAAGAAAAGAAAAAATATTATAAAAAACAAGTAAAAATATATGATTTTCTTTTTTAAATATGAATCCCGTCCTTCGGGTCAATTTTGACCCGAAGGCCCCGAGTGTGACTGTTAAACGAAGAACTCCAGAGGGTTAACAAAATGTTTCTGTACTATATACGTTAAATAACTGTGATATAATTTTACTGTAAAATACTGTTAAATTTACAGTTTTTGAAAGTGAAATAGAACAACTCATTGTATATGCATTAACATTCCCACAGTGCCCTGTGTGACACTTCACATTTTATGTATTTTTTGTCTAAATAACTATGGTTCCTCATAGTTTTCTTGTTTTTTTTTTCCTAATCAGTTATGTACATTAGTGTTTATGTTACATTTAATGTTGTTAAATTAATGTTTATTGCATTTTTTTAATACCATTTAGTATCGTGTTACCATGATGGTGTTTAATGTTTGTGTGATTACAATGTGCAGCTTCTTTATAAAAGTGTTAACCTTCTAATGGAAGACTGCTTGTGATGAGCTTTGATTGATCATGTGACTCGCAACACTGCTGTGATGACTGGTGGTTGTCAGTGTATTACAATGGTACAAAACAGATATCAATATTTCAAAATGATGGTGAATCATCATTTTATCAGATAATGAAATATGGTTTATTACTGTAATTATTAAGTAAAGTCTGTTAAACGTCTCAGGTTACGACTGTAACCTATGTTCCCTGAGAACAGGGAACAAGACACTGCGTCAAGCGTTGAGCCGTTTCCCATAGCGCTTGACACAGTGTCTCGTTCCCTTCGAAAGGGAACGTCTCAGGTTATGACTGTAACCTATGTTCCCTGAGAACAGGGAATGAGACAATGCGTCAAGCACTATGGGAAACGCCTCAGCGCTTGACGCAGTTCGAAGTTCCCTTCGAAAGGGAACCATAAACGTTCTTACCGTATTTTTAACGGTAAAGTTCTGACCAACCAAGCTGCCGTTTTTTTACGTAAAAAATACGGTTTTATTTTTTACAGTTGTAACCACCCAGAGTTTGGTTCCTGGTTTTCTTTCTTAGTCTGTAATTCAACTACTATGCAGTAGGGGGCTCTAAGGTCATGCTCCGTTGTATATAGCTATGTAGGAGAAGAAGTTAGGACAAGGGTGTGGAGAGAGAAGCATGGTTCTTCTCTTTATCCTCACACAATTTGTTTAGAGTCCAGATTGAGAAACTAGGGTTCAAATACATGTACACACAAACTGCAACTTTAAGACACCATCTTTATTTTTTAGCTTAACTGTCACAGAATGAAACACACAGGGTTGTGGGATATCAAAGGCAGTGAAGGACAATTTCAGGCATTTGAGGGCGATTTCCACAAAACTTTCACCGAGTGAAAATTGGGGCTAATATCGTGGAGCGTGTACTCTGAATTACTGGAAGACTAGGTGCTGCAACAATGTAAAATATGTGAAAAATTCTTCTTTTTTTTCCACATTCAAACATGAAAACCTATTCTAGTAGACCAACCAAGACTTGGTAAAAGGGCATGGCTTCTTTAAAAGGTCTGCATTTGTTATTATTTCAGTTCAGTAGCCATAATACCTCCAGTCAGATATAATCTCTTGTGATTCTGATGGTCTGTGGGGAAACAGCATTTCCTGAATGTAAATAATTTCGTTTTTTTTCTTTTTTTTTCTCAAAATTGACCAATTCTCTGGCACGCGCTGCTGTTGGTCTTTTGTGGCAGGCTGTTGAGCGTCAATGCCGTTTGAATGCAAGAAGTGTAATGGGAGATAGCAGGGGAGAGAAGGACACCGGTGGAAATAAGCTCTGCCTAGTTTGATAAAGCCGCTTCATTACTTGGATATTGTGTGTCTGGAATCATTATGCACGGAAGGGCCTCTGGAGGCTCAGGTTTTATTGGCGGTCCTTGCACAACTAACTCTCATCCATTAAACAAATCATGGAGTCATGTATTAGATTAGCTCTACACCCGGCATCAAGGGTGTTTTTGCCAACCAACGGAACCTCTGCTATTCACTCTCCCAATCCGGAAAATGAATTATGCGATTGAAAGCATCTGGAAGATATTGTCATACATACCATTCTAAGAGATTTATTAAAGGAACAAAAAATCCCATTTGAATTTTTTGTCACTTAATTTTGTTGTTCGCTTTTGAGCTGACAAACGAGAACAGGAACGCGTCTTGTTAAGTGACTGATGTTTTATAATATTTAATCAAATTGCAAAACTTTGTTACTTATTTAATAGAGTATGTTTTCTCCATATAATATTAAGAAGAAGCCAATGTCATTTGCAGGGCTGTATGCTTGGATGGAAACAGCTTGATCTCCTGCTGGCTCTGACCCTTGGTAACCCCTGAGATGTGGCTATGACTCCCTCCTGTGGAGAAAGGTCAGTACTACAGTAACACCAAAACCTGCACATCGAGCTGTCAAACTTTGCTTTGACTCCATCAGAAGTGTAAAAAGCAGAGTTTACTGGAATGAGGGCATAGTGAAAATGAAAGTGATTGTCTAGGTCAACCCAGTTTCCTAGCTTATATACAGCAATATTGTGTATAGCCTAATGCATATATAGCCATGAAACTAACATGAACTACTTCTAATTCATAACATAACTAAGAATGAACAATTCTTCTTTAGCTTTTCTTCAACAATTCTTTAAAAAAAAAAAATTACTAATACGTTATTAAAATCAAAGGTTGTATGAGTTAACATTACTTAATGCACTGTGAATTATTGCTGTGTTTTTTATTAAATAACATTAACAAAAATATTAAATGCTGTAACAAATGTTGGCTATTGCTCATTGTTAGTTCATGTTATTTAAAAACTAATGCTAATGAACCTTATTGTAAAGTGTTACTGACTTTATAGAAGTGTTCATGCAATATTAACAAATTCAACGAGGAGCACTGAAACATTGTCTGTAGTTAAAAGCAAAATACTAGAAAACCCAAAGTTCTGCATTGTTTCAATATTTTGCTCTTGAGTATGACTGTGTAACATGTTTATATGAGGGTGTGTGAAGCATACCAAATATTATTGTTATTATTATTATTGCGTCTGACTGTCCCCGTTTTTGATAGCAGGTGTGTACTTGGAGAGTGTCATTGAAAGTACTCTACTTAGTGGTCTAAACGCAACTCAGAGACCCCTAATATAAAACATTGATTTTCTCTGTAACACTTTGCAGCTATTAACTAGATGTTTCTGTCATTTTTAACTTTGGGTATTAGCTGTAATAGAAAACCTGTAAAATATCATGGAGTTTTAAGATTGTCATTTCTAGATCTGGAAAAGACATGGAAATTCATGCAATCCTTTAAAGTAAATAGACATTTTTGCAGTCTATATGTTTGGCCCCAAGACATTTAATTGAATGTTGCTCTTTGTGAGTGACTGCTATATATATTGTGATTTTTAGAAAATAATTATAGTAATATAAATGTAGAGAAAGGCATGGTAAAGTCATGTAAATGCACTGATGCTGCTGCAAGTAGCCTAATACAATTTTACAAACATTAAATATACCGACTGGGGTGGTATATTGTATAATCATCCAACTTCTGTAGAGCTTTATTTGGAATAACGACGTCTACATTAATTCATGATGGGAAAAGCTTTGCTTTTCAACCTCTTGAAATCTGAACAAACGCCCTGTTAAAGAAGACGCTGTATGCAGAACGAGACAGGTGTATTTAGAAGCGAGCGCCTCTTGAGCCAATCAAAAACGTACGCTGACGTGCTAAGGCGGGCTCTTTTCTAATTATACAGACTTTGGACCAATCAGTTGAGTGGAGGGCGGTGCGTAGTTCTTCGGGGGCGTGTCTTAGGCTTTGTGCCGTCGCAGCGCTGAAGAGCGTCTGAAGAGAGTAATAGCATGAGCCTTGCGTCGAGATCCTGTCAAAGCACTAAACAGCAAATTTCTCGCACCTGAACTTTTACACTCTTTCCTGAGGACTATTTTACCATTTAAACGGGACGTCTTATTTACATATTTACTCTGTCAAGCAACAGCAGCACTTGAGAAGTCACTCCTCCGCAGTTGCGTTCCTCTCTTAAGACATTTAAATTAAAAGGATATGGTGTTGGACATGTGAAACACACGGGAAACTTCAAACATGAAGCTGGCATCTTCTCTGTGTTGCCTCGGGTTTCTTCTCACTTCTGTGGCGGTCCGTCTGAGCGACTCGCAGCAAGGTGAGTAAACGACTGACCATCGTCTCGTGCGCAAAGGTGTTTATGCGTCTCGTGCACGCACCTATAGTTTTTTTCAGGATGCTTCTCGCAGTAAGTTATCCATCCTCTGGTGCGAGTAACCATTTTTGTGTGTGTGTTGTGTGTGTGTGTGTGTTGTGTGTGTCTGAATCTCCCTTAACAATAAAACCCTGAAATTTATAAGATGCGTTATTGTAATGGTAAATGAGTGCCATTCGTTCACTGTTCACTAACACAATGATGCATAGATTTCACATGCATAAAGTCTCTATGTGTGTTGGTGTGAATTAGGCTGGCATACAGTTGGAGCAATGGCACTGATAGCGCAGAGTGGCACTGAAAGGGGCATTCAGTCTCATTGGACGTTTGTTTTGTTATTCTCAGCCCGTACACTGTCTGAGAAAGTGTTTGAGTGGTCATTGCTTTCCGTGCATGTGAAAAAAAAAAATCACTGCTATTGCTTTGAGTCGTACCTTCTGGTGCGCGTGACTGCTTAGTTGACTTTTCGTTGGCTGAGAAGAAACTGAAAACTTGAAATGTCATCGTGCAATCAAATGCGCCATATTTGATTTGAGCGTCCTTTATATTTTTAGATGTAAACATGCAGAATGTAGTTATGTGTAAGCTGTGTTAATGTACAATTTTACTGGGGATCTTTGGTCTATTTCGAATCTTTTCGATTAAAAAGTTTGCTTAACTAAACAGACTTGTTTTTAAAATGTAAGTAGCATTTTTTTTTAAAATTAGAACACATAATATGACTGGCAGATTTTATGACATAAGAATAAATACACAGCAATGTTGCGTCCACATCTCCACATGGTGGTAGTATGAACCGAGATAGTCTGAATATCTCTCTCTCTCTCTCTCTCGACTTTAGCATATACTTTTTCGTACATGTGTAGCTATACAAATAAAATGTTGTCTTTTTTAAGTATATACTTTAAATGTTAAAAGCAATGTTATTAAAATAATTGGCTAACTGAAATATATTGTATAAAATATTAATCAATAGGCTAATTGTACAGTATCTTGGCACACTCATTCCTTTTCACCATACACCCCCCACACACACGCGCGCGCACACACATGTAGCCTATGCATTGTCATTATGACTAATTTTCAAACGCAGATCCATCCAGATTAGGTAACTTAATCAACCTCGATATCGATTAGTAAATGATGCTGTAACCACGATCCCCCATCACAGTCGAGCTGAAATGACCTCATTAAAACATTCAAGAAAACTTTATAGCAAAGCATTACGCCATTTGGTACATTTTAATAGCCCGAAACTTTCAAATGTTTGTCTCTTTATGTAGTCAAAGCTAATCCGTTATGGCGATTAGACACACTGACCATTGATTAAAGGGAAACAATTGGAGCTAGTTGTCGAAAGCAGGTAAAGATCACGAATGAATCCGTTTTTATAGTTCGTCGTTACTGATCTCAGTGTCATTGGCAAAGGCACGGGCTCCTGACGCACGTCTGCGCTCCGCTGCGCTGCCCGGAGGAGACACGATCCTGATCCAATTGTTATTTTAGATTAAATAAATTAAAAAAGCCTTAGGGGAGAGCGATGTTAATGGGGATACTGCTAAAATAATAACAACAACACTAGTGTAGGATGTTCTGCAAAATTAAGGTCGGTAAAAGTAGGCTAAATAACATGCTTATTACGAACATGATTTGTAGCCTATCTCTGGATGGCTTGCAACAATAGAATAATCAACTTTGGTTCTAAACAGCCTTTGCAAGTTTCATAAAGAACTTTTTTTAACGTTTTATTTATTTAATTATATTTAGGTATTTCATTTCCTTTCATTATGAAATATAATTGGGAAATGAGTATGGAAAACCTTGTTGTCCAGTGTTCTGGCATGCTTCATCAAAAAGTAAGCTAAATGTTTCCAGTTCATCAATAGCCTACCTATTTGTTATGCATGCAGGCTTTAAACTCATATTAATATGGAAACATTTTAAAAACGAATTTCATTTGTGCATTTTAAATGAACTTGAATGTAAAGATGTGTTTAAAAGTTATGAAAATCATGACGTATATGCACACTTTTCCATGTCTGAAATCTTTGTTGAAGGAAAGTTTTGTCAACTACTTCAATATAATTGTTGAACCTAAGTTCATTAGATTTAATAAATACATTGAATAGTGAAAATTATATTAAATCTGTTAATTTTGCACAATTTTCTCATCATACAGCTCATAATCAGACCAAATCTTGAAGCGTCTCCTTAGTGAATGCCGAGTTTATGAAAGGGTTAATGATAACGATTATGATGATGAGAGATCTGACCACTGCAGTGTGCTGTTGTTTAGTTGGCTGTATAACTCATTATTGTGATCCGTATCGGTTATCGTTTCAGTCTGTCCGAAGATGGTCGTGAATTTAAATCAATCTATTCCTTGACATTTAGGAGCCGTGCCAGCAGCAAGACTCGGGGAATAGGAACACAAATATCAGTTTGTTAATCGGCTTAGCTTTGGATTAAGTCCCGTCAGTGATACTGGCTGCTGATGAAAATGAATCGTTCAGCAATTTAACTCTCCTTTTTTTTATCTGATCTTTTTCTTGGATAGATTCCCTGCTACAATGGAGCATGAGAAGTGAATAATACAGGGTTTGTCTGTATATCTAAAATCTTAAAATGGCTCCAATATCTATCTATCTATCTATCTATCTATCTATCTATCTATCTATCTATCTATCTATCTATCTATCTATCTATCTAATCTATCTATCTATCTATCTATCTATCTATCTATCTATCTATCGTATTTATTTAAGAATGAATGTGAATATTACATTTTTGTTGACTGTGGGAAAGTACATTTCCTTAGCTCACCTCTGTCAATTCTGATCTGGCCTCTCGAGGTTTCATACAAGCTTTTGATTGACAGCTCCCATATGAGGCCAAAGTATCCCACGGGAATCCTTTCTCCTTTTTCCTTCCTCACTCTCTGGAGAAGTTTCACTGCTCTAAGCATACTGTCTTTTTTAATCCCTACTTTTTTAATGCTGTTGTTTACTCAAATCATTTTTTTTATTATGCTTTATAGCACGTAACTCCGTCTGCGGCTTATGATATGGCATATGCCATGTTCGTGAGGCATTGTATAATTATATCCAGGCACACACATCTCAAGTTCCCAGTATCTAAATGTTTACAAAGTGTGGCACAGACAGGAAGCCCCATCAACAAAGAAGGGCAAAGTATTTGCTTTTATCGTGGCAGTCGAAGCGCATCATCTCTCGCTCTCTTTTTATTTTGTCAAAGTGAGAGGGCACAGTGCTACAAACGCCTGCCCACGCAGCAATAACCCATTGTCTCACAAAGCCCATTTATTCCGTTTTTTCTCCATCTTGGTCCAAGAAAGGCAGGCTGACCTCTGAGCCTGTGTCTCTCAATGGGAAGAAAAGCAGCCTTTGATTCTGTTAGGAGCGCCAACTCCTGGCAAGCGAAGGCGGGTTTCTGCGCAGCGTGTTGCTCTCTGCTCCGACTCTGAGTGTCTCCCTGTACTGACTGCTATATATGTGCTGCCTCAGCCTTCCAGAGGCTAATGGGAATTTGATGATTTGTTTGTGGATTTGATCACCCATATTCATTCTGTCACTTCCTCTCAATCTCTAGACTTGCCATAGATTTTTACACTGATTTAACCAACAAAACCTGCCCAATGAATCTTCTTTTTTATTTTTTTATTTTTAAGGCTCATACCGAAATGTTAAAGGAGTTGTTCACTTAAAAAATCTTTTGCTGAAAAATTACTCACCCCCATGTCATCCAAGATATCCATGTCATTCTTTCTTCAGTCGAAAAGAAATCAATGTTTTTGATGAAAACATTACAGGATTTTCAATGGGAACCAAACGGTTCAAGGTCCAAAAGACAGTTTCAGTGCAAACTGCAAACTGTTCAAAGGGCTTTAAACAATTCCAGACGATGAATAAGGGTCTTATCAAGCGAAACGATCGCTCATTAAAACAAAAAAAAAAGTTGAAGTTTTATAAGCTTGGTCGCCTTGCTCTGTTCTGTGATGCGTGTTCGTGACTCTCCTGTTTGTCTGTAGTCGTTCATCAAAACTAGTGAATCTCTTTACAAGCCAACTCGTTCATTTCGTTCGTTGAATGAACCAAATGACACGAAAAAAGATTTGTTTTTAACAAGTTCGAACAGGAGAGTCACGAACGCGCATCACAAAACAGAGCAAGGAGAGCATTTGAGCTTATAAAACTTTTTTTAAATGAGCGATCGTTTCGCTTGATAAGACCCTTATTCATTGTCTGAAATTGTTTAAGGCCCTTTGAACAATTTGCACTGAAACTGTCTTTTGGACCTTCAACCGTTTGGTTCCCATTGAAGTCCATTATGTGGAGAAAAATCCTGGAATGTTTTCATCAAAAACTTTAAATGCTTTTCGACTGAAGAAAGACATGGACATCTTGGATGACATGGGGGTGAGTAAATTATCAGCAAAAGTTTTTTTTACTCCTTTAAGGTCTTCTTCCAGTAAGTGCATGGTTCACATTCATTGTATGTGAAAAACAGAAATGTTTTGCAGAGCAGAAAGAAAGTCATGGTTTGAAACTATTTATTTACTTGAGACGATGTGTTCATGGTGCGATACGCTGAACAAACCCCAGTGAGATTTGATGTTATTATCAATGATCAAACAATTACAAAATAGCAAAAATAGTACACTAGCGGATCTGTACTGTAAATTGTACCTTACAGTCTATCTCCAATTGCATGGCCTTTCAACAGTAGTTACTGAGCAGAGTCGTGCTACAATTAGTGCCAACAACAAGTGTGAAATGCCTTTATACAGCCTGAAGTCTAAGGGAGGACAGAGGGAAAACCAAGGAGAACGTTTATAATGTGGCCTTTTATGCATTCATGCTCATGCTGTGTTTACAATCTTCTGTTGGTTTGACCCTTCACTGAACTGTTATCAGTATTCATAC